CTCCCATATTTTTGCCTGAGAGCCCCTTAATTTAAAATTTATAGCAATTTGGAGGGGTGGGGAGGGTTTACATTCTCCATTTCGGGGGAGCCTCTGCCTTCCTTAGCAGACTCCTGGCTTTCCAAACCAAGACAACTGCATTGTTTATTTTATCCTTTTATTTTTTCTTCCCTATTAAAGAACTGTTATTCCTGCTCCCAAATTTTTGCCTGAGAGCCCCTTAATTTAAAATTTATAGCAATTTGGAGGGGTGGGGAGGGTTTACATTCTCCATTTCAAGGGAAGCTCCTGCCTTCCTTAGCAGACTCCTGGCTTTCCAAACCAAGACATCTACATTGTTTATTTTATCCTTTTATTTTCTTCCCTAATAAAGAACAGTTATTCCTACTCCCAAATTTTTGCCCGAGAGGCCCTTAATTTTAAATTTATGGCAATTTGGAGGGATGGGGTTCACATTTCCCATTTCAGGGGAGGCTCCTGCCTTCCTCAGCACACACCTGGCTTTCCAAACCAAGACATCTACATTGTTTATTTTATCCTTTTATTTTCTTCCCTAATAAAGAACTGTTATTTCCTACTCCCAAATCTTTTCTGAGAGCCCCTTAATTTCAAATTTATGGCAATTTGGAGGGATGGGGTTCACATTTCCCATTTCAGGGGAGGCTCCTGCCTTCCTCAGCACACACCTGGCTTTCCAAACCTTTTCCTCCCCATGGAGGTGATCAATGGAAGGGACTGCCTGCAGTGCCCTGAGCACTGAACTTTTCACACAGAAAGACTTTCCACACACACTCCCAGAGCTGCCTGGCCTGGCCCCATCATCTGCCTCTCACCCTTGCTCCTTCCAGCCCATTTTGCTCATTTCTTGCTCATTTGCTGCACAAATTGCTGAAGCGTTAATTATAGGACGGATTAAAATGAATGTTTTAATGCAGGCTGGGGTTGAAGGGGTAAAGATGACGCCAAAATTGTCAAAACACAAAACTCCCAGTGCTTCCAAATGAGCTCTCAGGAAAGGAGCTGCTGGATTGCTGGGCTGGAAAAATCCTTTCCATTAGGGTGAAGGTAAAACAGATCACAGGGGACGTCAGAACAAGAGCTGTGCAATGAGCACTGTTAATGTAAAATGTTCCCTGCACTGATTTCACCAAAAAAAAAAAAAAGTCTAGGAGAAAAAATGCTGAGCTGGCTGACCCTGATAAATGCAAATTCATTGGAGGAAGCAGAAGGGTTTGCTTGGGAAAGCCAGAAGAAAATGGATTGGATGTCAGGAAAAAGGTGTTGCTCGAGTGCAGTGGAGGGAGGTGGAGGTGATGCACAAAGAGAATTTCCCTGAATTCCCAAGGAATTCCAAGTGCAGATTAAAGGCTGTGATCCCACTGCCATCCAGGCACGAGAGATTCCAGCATCATGCCAGAAAATACCACGGAATTATGAATAAAATCCATGCCAAGGAAACACAACAAAGCCCTGGCAGTTGTCAATGTCTCAGTATCAATTACTATTGCAGCAGCCAATTCTGCATTGTTCCGTATTTTCTCTATTATTCTGTGTGTTTTGCAAAGAAAGAACAATTCATTTTGTAAACAGGGCAATAAATAAAAGATCTTCTGATCAGCTTTACTGCGATCTATTCCTGGCTGTACCTGCAACCAAGTTTATCTGAACCTCCCTCAATGTGAGGAAGGGCTTGTGCAACAAAATCTTAATTAATTGGCTCCACTAACGAGCTGGGGGCGTGTGGGGTGGGGTGTGCCCATAAACTGTCTGTCCCGGTTATCTGAGCGGGTTAAACCCTTCTGCTGTAGATCTGGAGATGATCTGGCTGGGAGAGCATCCCTGGGACAGGCACAGGAGCTCCTGCACACCTGGGCTGGGCAGGGAGAGCTCACAGAGACCCTCCACAGAACCACCAGGCTGGGAGAGACCTTCAGGATCATCAAATCCAACCCAGCCCCAGCCCCTCAACTCAACCCTGGCACCCAGTGCCCCATCCAGGCTTTGTTAAACACAATTGTTAAACACAATTGTCTTTTTTTTTATGATTATGCTCTT